AAACATTTCATGGATGATTAACCTTGGATTCTTAACCTTGGACCAACAGCAGCCACAATATTTTCATTTAATGTGATAAATTATTTTAGAGCTCAGCATTTTTCAAAAAGAACCAAAACTTTTGATATGTGTCAATTTTGGCACACTGTGGACAAAGCTGTCTCTGCTTGTCCTCTACAAGCTTAAGTAGTTAAAAAAACACTCACCCTGTTGACTTTTGACAGTCAAATGTACCTTTAAGTGTGAATATTGTATATGACTGTCATTCAGAGGACAGGTTTGGAGTTCTGCATTCTGTGTTTCTTACTTTGACATATAGTGAACTTTAACTTTCTGTTGCCTGTGAGGTCCAACTATCTGCAAGGCTCTGTAAAAAGTGCATGAGAGTCCTCTGCGGATCAAGTTTTTGCTCAGGGTGTTGACCACGAGTGAGCTACAAATATTTAGCACGAGCAACCCCATCATCTTTACTATTTTTCTGACCTCGTCTGATCTAATGGAGTATCTGTGATAGAAGAGATCATCAGGTGAGTGTTACTTTTTAGGATGATGGTGTATAAAACGAAAAATGAAATAAGATATGGTTGTCTTTCTCAGTGTGTTACAGTGTGTAAGCAGACTTACTGTCGATGCATTTGTGTTTTAAGTCTGTATGTGCAATTGTCTCTCAACTTAAAATTGAACATGGGCACTGCAAAATGCAACACACACACACACACACACACACACACACACACACACACACACACACACACACACACACACACACACACACACACACTACATCCCTGATTTACTGTGGCTGACAGTGGTCTTGCAGTTTGTTAAGAGAGCAACAGATAACCAGTCCAAGTGAGACAAAAAGGGGTCCTCTGTCAAACACTCACTGGGCTATGAAAAACACATGCAATAGCTATACACATCACACACATACACACACTCTCTGTCTGTCAAACCCACACACACACACACACACACACACACACAGACACATTGGCTGGGGCATACGCTGTCATATATGACAAACACACATGGACACTCGCACATGGCTGCACGCTCTGGGCCCAAGCAGTCCTTTTCACCCGCCTTAATTGGATTCTAATGTATTCAGTTTGCTCAACTGAGCAAAGAGACAACTGCAGTTTTCTGACCAGAGAGAGGAAGAGAGAGGAAGAGGTACAAGAGAGAGAAAGAGAGAGAGAGAGGGAGAAAGAGGGGAAATTAGAAGTAAACAGAGGCTTTCACTGCAGCGGTCATTTTCCTCCACCCTCTGAGTGGAGCGTATCGTCTGAACAAGTTGTCGACAGAATTTCTACAAGAGCTGTTTGACCTCACAAAGAGACAGGAGCACTGTGTTGCTCTATTCTCTCTCTCTCTCTCTCTCCCTTCCTCTCTCTCTCCTATCATCTTTTCCAGCACTCGGATGAAAGTCGTATCTAATGCACTAAGCAAACGTACTGCTCTCATACACAAACAACCACTCTGACCCGAGATCAGTATCTGAAGATCGTAATATGAGAGTCTTATCTCAGTCTCACCACCTTTCCTCGCCCTCTTGAGTGCTTATAAATAAATCCTCAGCATGAACACTTAGGAGAAGTGGCACACATAAACTTTATGATGTCTGTTTTCGAAATTCAATAAAAGACCTTCGTGAGTACCAAAAAATACAGATTCAATTCTTTTGTGTACATCATGCATTACAGAGGAAGCTCTACTTACTGAATAATTGGCATTAATAGAATGTAGGATTCTTAATCATATTTCATCATCATATAATAACCTGTTATTAGGAATCATCATGCTTAATTTACTTTAATATGATGCTGTACAAACTGGGGACAGGGTAGGGGGGTATTTAATGTCGATTGCAATCAGTAAATTCACCTTGAGATGCAAAGAAATCCTACATATCCTTATCCTTTTTTTTATCCTATCTTACCGAAGTATCTTATCGAAGCGATGTCTAATATCTGAGATAATATCTGAAGTGTTGTTACAATGTGCATAATACAATACTCAGTATGTCACTCCTTTTGCAGAAAGCAATCTAAACACTTCTTTCCGGTCCACACATATTCACCAAATACAATCAAGCTTAGCAGGAAAGACTGCTGTGCATGTGCACTGAGAACACATGCAGTGTTAGTTATCATTATACATATATTTAAATTACTGTTTGTCTGTGTCTCACACCCCTAATCCACATTCATATCTGGCCTTAATGCATTCATATTGGACATCGTGCATCATAAGGGAGATTTATTAAGTGAAGGTTAATAGTGAACAGGAAGTTAAACCTAATAGAAAACAGACAGGATGAGCTCATGTCAGGGTCTTGCCTCCTTTGGAGGGGATTCTGATTTGTTCAAACACCTGTTCACTATTAGGGCTGGGCGAAATGAGAAAAAGGTTATCACATTATATTTTTTTCATATCAGTCGATATCGATATATTTCAGGATATAAAAACTGAAATTTAACAGTGCTTATTGGTAGCATGTCTTTTCCGATACAATAATCTACTGCATCTGTGAGGTCTTTGTGTCTCTTTGACGTTTTGTCGTAAGGCGTTGCTCTAGAGAAAGTGGACTGAATGGTCATCTGTTTCAGCTCAGGTACCATGAGCTCCTTGCTCCTCTCGGGGTTTGTAACCTTTTGCGTTGCGCTTGCTCTGCGACGTGGTGTTGCTTCAGATGGTGAAAAAGATTTAAGGTATTCCCTGACTTTGTGAGAACATGTACTCGACATAATTTGCAGTGCACATTACTCTGCTTCATGTCCGACCTCTAAAAAACAAAATACCTCCACACCACCGATGTTTTCGTCATCATCCGTTGAGCCTTCATGGTCATTTCTGTCGGGGCTAGCACTCATTTTCTTTTTTTCTCACTAACAGTGCTGTCGGCTTCACCTGTTAAAGTGCTATGGTTGGGTGTAGCTACTGTCTGCTACGATGCAGTTGTTTGATTCTTGGTTCTTATTCAGAACATGATTGGTTCAGTGTGAAGCCGACCAGGAGCAACTCCCCTTTTCATTGGCTGTTTGTATAGTCTACCAAAACATGGCAGAATGCCGACTATTGAAAAGGATATTGATCATGTTTTATATTGATATTGAGGGGAATTAATTTTCGATATATATCGTTATCGTTTCATCGTCCAGCCCTATTCACTATACATTATCTGTTACATTGAACATTTAAGATCATATTAAAGTGAAAACATTTGCCCTTTTTGTCACCCCAGATCTGTATGCAGTCTGTCTGTGCTGATCCAAGGCAGCACAGCAGATAGGTTTTCACTTCCGTCTGTGTTTGCCTTCACTGGTTCCACTGCGTTGGGTTTGTACTCCTTCTCAGCTCCAGCGATCCGGACCATGACACATTAATCAGACCGAGGGAGAAAGGAAGTCAGACGTCAAAACAACATTAAAATTTCCACTTAATTTTCCAAAGTAAAACACTATGTTAACTACAGCGTGTATTTCACTTGACTACTCCTACAAACATTCATAGTGAGCAGAGCCAGGCCAACAGGTCAGCAGAATCAGAGGTTTTTGGAGCAGGTAGAGATGAATGTGACTGATTTGATGTGACATGAATGATCTGGGGTCCGTTTCACGTAGGTGGTTCAACAAACTCTGAGTTAAATCCTTAACTCTGAGTTGATCTACTCTGAGTTAGGAAACTCTGAGTTTCCGGTTTCACAACGCCTGATTTGAGACGGTTTTAACAACTCCGAGTAGTTTGACCTGGAGTTAAGCACGTGCACGCCAGACATAAACAGCCAGCATCTGTGGAGCGCAGATTCAATGATCAACCAATGGAAACAGGGAGAAGGAGGGGGCAGCAGCAAGCCAACAGCGAATTACAGCACGTTTTTAAAAGAAAGCGCAATACAGCAGCAGCTGCAAAGGAGAGGGAGAGGGCTTGGGAGGAAATCGCTGCTCGCGTCAATGCGTAACTTTAAATCTAGTCTCGTGCAATCACAATGACAGACTGTTGCAGGGAAACTGCTTGAATCATTTTGATCATGTTTTACATTGTCAAGTAAGTATTAAGTGGCAGTTTGATCCCTTAGAAAATGCTCTTTTCACACTCAAAAATGAATTTTACTCTCTTATGATGTTCCGTTAAGTGATTAGGAATATTAAACTAACTCTCAGTATGTATATGTACATATATTAAACTAACACACACTACACGCAATATTAGACTTTCACTCAGCTAACAGAAAGAGGGCAGATGCCAGAAAAACGGGTGGTGGCCCAGCAGCCCCACCTTTAACGGAGGCAGAGGAGCTTCGACGATCGCAACCCCCACCCCGTAGCAGCGATCGTCGGACTGGTGTGTGTGCGTGTGTGTCTGTGGGGGGGTTTGCGATCGGACCGGCCGCGATCGTCGAACGGGGGGCAGCTCCTCTGCCTCCGTTAAAGGTGGGGCTGCTGGACCACCACCCGTTTAACGGAACATAATAAGAGAGTAAAATTCAGTTTTGAGTGTGAAAAGAGCATTTTTCAAAATGAGAAAATGCCGATGTCTCACCTGAAACTCTGGGTTTACTGAGTTAAACCTGCTCCCGAGCAGGTTAGGTTCACGGAGTCTGTTACTGTGGTAACTGACCGCGAGGTTGAGTTACCTCTCTTCGTGAAACAGGTTAGAGTTACCCCTCTCTCCCTGGTTTAACTAACCCTCCTTTGTGAAACGGAAAACTCAGAGTTTTCCTGATTTCAGGGTTAACAAACTCGGAGTTTCCACTAAACCTGCTACGTGAAATGGACCCCTGGTTTCTCCTTGTGTTGCCTTTGATGTCGAGAATAAATACCTGTGGTAAAGGGTTTAGACCAATCAGAATCAAGTACTTAACGTTGCCAGATAACAAAATATGTTTATGCCAATGAAAAAACACAATCTAATACAAACACTGTTTTCTTAACCAGTCAAGGCCAACTTCATGTTTGTCTGGAAGTTCATCCTATATTACATTGTTTAACCCATATTTGGCATCAGTTTGGGACTTCATTTTATACAAGTCAAACTTTTTCAGTTGATGTTTAGTCCCAGCAGTGATCCATGGCTGACAAGCTATGTGATGGCAAAGTCTTTTTGGGAGGAATCTCTTGTTAGTGGTTTATGTTTCTCAGTTTCTTTGACCTTAAAAATGTGTGCGTGCTAAACTCTATGGCAGAAAAACTGCTGAACTGTTCACCTCCGTTGGTAAGCATTTTCAGCACCACAGAACTGTCCGCTTCACAGCACACTACACTAATACTCTGCACTGTCAGGCATCTCAAAGATCCAGTTTAATGATTTTAGCCATGGCACTTCTGCTGAAAAATAAAGCTCCATATCTGACTCTTATTGATTTTTCCCTGGTTTTTCTTCAGTGAAAGAGGCACAGTCTTATCCAACCATGTTCACTTTGCACCATTTCTTAATAGACATTCAAATTGGGGCCAATTAGAGTTGACAGAAGCCTATTAAACTCCTTTTTATATCACATATGAACCAGTGCTGCTGATATAAGTTATTTTTAAGTAATTACTTTATAGTTCTTTGAAAAGAGAGGCTGTTCACGAACTTGTTTATTTGACTTTTCCTCAAACGGCATCCTCCCTAGTCTCCTGTCATTAATGATCTTGTATATAGAAATACTTCTTCCTCTCCGTGTCAATATTTTTATCTCCCTTCAGCACATATTTGGTGCTGGAACCTCAACAAGCATAAGCTCTCTTTGGCTTGTGTGTTTCTTTCACTACACCCCCCAGAAAAAAAATCATCTTTGATCAGCCTGAAATCCAACAAATATTATGAAACTGTGACTGCTCAAACTCCATTTTATATCTAAAATGTCTTTTGTTGAACAATCAGAGGGATGTTATACATGAGCAGCTTGGAGCCTTCATGTTGATATGCCCTTTGTTAAACAACACCATGAAATTGAAAATGTGATGCTCATTGGGCTGGACCTTTGCAAACCCATATCTGTTGGGTCACTACATGATGAGACTCATAATTCGGTTTGAGGCTGGGGTCCCTGGACAAAATGTCCAATTTGTTTCCTTTTGTTCAATCAAACTTGGGTTTCTTTTTAATAGGTTTGTGAACCGTCTATCTAGAGAAATTGTAACCCCAAAATAGCATTTACATGACCCCTTGTATTTTATTTATTTTTTTACAATTGACGTTCTTGCCAGGCTTGTAAGATCCTTGTATGTTGAACTCCTAACATTTCCTAAAGACAGAGAGAGATGATTTTGCTCCAGGGATGATAAATTCATTGCTAGCAATTAGGAGAGGTTCTGTTTTTTTTCAATTTAGATGTTTCGTGAAACTGAATTTTCTCACTTTGAAGGTTTGGATAGGTTTTGTTTAAGGCGGGGCTGTATGAAGAACCCCTCAATAGAAAGTGTGGTCCCGGTCAGCTTGACTCTTAAGTAAAAGGCTGCAGAAGCTGGAGTAGCACACCACCCCATTCAAAAAATAAAATTGATAAATGAAAACTACCTCTTTCAGACAAATTTTAAAGAGACATATAAAAAAGATCTTGTTTTGGCTGAGATTTGAGTGATTCAGACGATGAAAATAAAAGGATGTATTTTCTTTTTAAAATATGAGTTTTCAGCCCACGCCAGAAGATGTGGAGTGACTTTGAAGTCAAAGGTCGTCACCACAGAGAAGCCATGGGGAGGGAAGCTAAGACTGACGACCACTGTGACCTCAGGGTGGGCTCAGCTCAGGGGCAGCCTGACAGTGATGTGTGGAGCGAAAAGGGTCCCACGCTTGCCATGATGAGTTTCTGCTCATGGTTGGCGTGTTTACCTGATCTCAGCATGTTTCCAGGTGAAAAGTAAAGGGCTGTTTTATTTTTCTGTTTGTCTTGTTCATGCCTGATACAATTTTGGTTCTCATATTTGCTTTGACTCGGGAGCAGGGTGTCGAGTTGATTTGTTAATTGCTACGCCATCAAAGTCTGAAAGGATTGTTTAAAAAAATCCTTTTTCTGTTTTGGTGCTTTCAACTCAGCATTTTTGAATAGTACTTTTTACTTTTAAAACCCCCAGACAGCTTAGTTCTTAAGTCAAAAGTTACATGCGTCAAATGACATTGAAATTCACCAAAGGACTTACAAATTGTGCCAGCGACAGCAGACAGCAGCATCACAAGAACCAGGGAGCTTTATAAAGGAGTGAGCAAAGTGCAGTAGATCTGAGGGTGAAACTAAAATAAAGAAGTTAACTACAAAGCTTAGTTAAAAGTATAAAATATCTTATAATTAGGCTATGAAGTCCAATTATTGGACCATTCAGTTTGTGTAAGTTTAAGTCTTACTTATTTGTGATTACAGGTGAAGGATTTTAGCGTATTTCATAGAGTTAGGGTTAGCGAGTCTTACTACGGTGACGACTGACCCGTATGTTTTGTCTTTTGGTATCTGCACTTTTTTTAAGTTTCAACAACAGCCAAAGTCAATGGTTGTCGTGAAATTTCAAACATGCTATACTGGAATTCAGCATTTGATCAATATTTTGAATTGTTCCAAAGCCCTATTTTTCACACTCACAATCTTACCTTAATATTGTACCCTTATGTTGCATTGTTACAAACACAATTTGGTGTCCCAATACTGTGCTGCATCATTCATTCCCACCCATCTACTGTAACTCTTGATTTTCAGTCATGGGGACTGAAAGAATCAATCCAAGTCTCAGAACATTTCTGTGCTTGACTGTGAGAATTAATGTGTGAATGAATTATTGGTTCTGAAATCAGAAATACAGTAAACATGCAAGGACATAAAAGATCTAGTTCTGTGAATGTACGGTTTGCTTGATGAAGAGAAGGTATGCAGTTGATTCACACATAAAAGACAACAGTAGCATTGTTTGAAAAGTTTTTCCAATCTCTGCTTTCTAGCGTTATTCATTCATCGTGACTGACCCTGACATTTCTGCGATCAATATCTCTGTTTTAACTGATAAAATGTAAAGCAGAGGCAGCTCAGTCTATCCCTTGTTGACTTCAGGTACAAAATGCAAGCAGCAGTTTACCGTTTACTTTAAAGACCGTTTTCGCTTTTACCTCGTTTTGCTCTTTTTTTCCCTCCTTCTCTAACTCTCCAGACTCGCATTCTGTCATCCAGCTTTTTAACACACCCAAAAATAAGAGCAACTCTTTTGCATACCTCCTCCTGGGAGTGAAAACAGAGCACAGATAAAGTCCAACAGCTATGCATGAAAAATTACGGTATGGAGCTGCATGGGACTCATCCTGGCTGGGGTGTAAAAGTAGAACAGGGGAGTGACTGTGGTCAGTGCAGAGACCAGCTGTGTGACACCGAGAACCACTTCTAGAAAGCACATTCACAACATCTATTCCAGTTGTGTTTAAGGATTCACTGATGAAGGCTTCCTTTTTGTGATTTTATACATAATTTTGCCTCAGGGCTTCCTTTTATAGTTACAAAAAACAAAAAAAGAAAGGAAAAATAATAGTTTGCCATCCCATTTCTGCTTAACTGTTGTGAAATGTTGTCCAAAGGATAAGGTGATGATGAATTTTTCTTTCTGGGTGTCAAATGTGCTAAAAATATTTAAAACAAATGTCTAGATGCCAGCTTTTCGAAATTCTTCCCAGCATATTTTCTTGTACTCATACTTTGAAAGATGCCGTCTTTGTTTTTGGTCCCTTGATACATGAGGGATTATGTGCTATTCTTCTTTATTCTCCGTCAAATTCCCCCAAAACAGCCAGTGGGACCTCATTGGTATACAGACACTGTATTTGTACAAATATTACATTTTTTTTTTTTTTAAAGGCACGCTCGCTGAACTAATGCCGTTGCTTCCTCTGGGGCCCCAAGAGGAATAGTTTAGTTAAAAAAAGATCTTTCAAGCTGCAGTCGCAGGGAACGCAGCGGCTGGCGGAGAGAAATAACGCCATTGAGAGAAAATTAGAGGAATATTTCGAAATGCAGTGATAAGGTTTCGTTCCAGATGGTGGCTGCTTGAAAAACGGGGTGAGCTTGTCATTGGGAGCTGGGAAATAATGGGTGGCATGGAACCCCCTTAAAATCTGATCGGCCATCATAAATAGTACTCCAAAGCCTTAATTGCGATTACATTGGGTTTTCTACATCCTGAATGACCATTATATCTATGTTGTTACAGCTGGTAGCCAGTGTTTTCATTTCAGTGCTGCACTTTCCCTTTTGTTAGTATTTTAAACTGTAGAAATGTACTTCATATATTTTTTAAACATAGATGTGTAGGAGGGGAATCAGTTCATCAAAAATTGCAAGCAAACCCCTTCACTTTAACTGTCAAATGTGTCGAACTGTCAAGCGTGTCCAACTGCAACTTGTCTGCTCTTGATGAATGTATTTTTGACAGACAGTGTGCAGTAAACATTTTCTTTTTGAGTCTCTGAGTAATAAACCTGCAGAGATTTACAAGTTCCCACTCTGCTGTGTTTTTAGAACTAGAAAATTAGAATACTAGGATGTGGATAAAACCGCAACTCCTGTGGCAAGCAGATGTAATAAGTAGAGAAAGGGTAAATAAGTACGTGGATTGAGACAAACAGCACAAAGTCACCTCAGGAACAATCTAAAATGTGTTTTGGATGTTCAGAAGTTCCCCAGGATGCCTACTAAGTGAAAGGTACTTTTGTGTGTTTATGTTTAAGAATCTATTGCAAGAAAATAAAAACCAAACCTTGCACTGACTTGATGATTTCACTGGTCAGCGATTTACCTCCCACAGCACTTGGCCTTCCTATGTGGCCTCAGCAGCCCTGGGATCCCCACATTTTCATGTACTTATTATCGCAGTAAACATAATGTTGCATTGAAATCCAAAATGGACGCTGTAAACTTGTCATTGACCAAATTGGTGACGGTGATGTCTGTGCATGTCTGCTGCAGCCGAGGGCTAATTAGCCATTAGCCAAGCTTTAAGGTCTTTGTAGGTGGTGGCTATCGCACAGTTCTGCATTGTTTGACGGGGTTTACCTCCGACAGTTCACTTTTTTTTCACATGGTTAAAGTGTTTTTATAAGCAGTTTTAAAAGTTAGTATGGCTCCCTGAATGCAGTGTTGTTTTCGTTGATGAAAATATTTCGTCATCGTCAACGAAAACAACACTGCAGAATATATGTTCAGTGTTTGACTGACGGCATGCTCATGAATTTTGCAACTCTTTTCGTCGTCCACCACTAACGTTTTCGTCTCGTCTTGTTAACGTAAACGCACATTTGTCTTGCCACATTTTAGTCATCTAAGACTTATGTTTAGCTTGTCAACGTCACGTCTTCGTCATGGAAAAAAAGGGGCATTGAAGAAATATTTTTGCAACAAAAACAACACTACCTGAATGTCTGTGTATGTATGTGCTCCTACAAACTCAATGCCACCCCTACATGAGTCAGTCCCCTGGTTGGGACACCCCAGTCAGATAGTCTGGACACACCCCTGCGGGTAATGTGTTTTGTTGGGGAAAGTGGGAGATCAGAGGAACAAAAAACAAATGGTGAAGCAGTGTTAAAAGCAGAAAGAAATGGCCTAGTGGTTAACCGTGCCCTCGTGTACAGAGACCATTCTTCTTAAAGTGGGTGGTCTGGGTTTGAGTCCTACCTGCTTTTTACTGCAAGCCAGTCCAAACCTCCCCATAGTCTTTCCAAGTTTCCTGCTCTACTCACTTTCCTCAGGCCAAAAATAACTTAAAAAGAGGACAGAAATGACTAATGTGTAGCACTTTGATACCTGAGGGTTAAACTGCAGAGGCAACACTCCTTGCAAATGCTGCTAATTACAGACAAACGGAGGATGAATGCACAGCAGTTTGTGACTTCTTTGTGTTTCTTCTGAAATGGGACGCTAGGGGGTGCTGTCGCTCCTTGTTAGCCAACTGTAGAGGCCGTGGAGTCAGACCGAGAGACAAACTCCAAAGAGAGACAGACAGACAGACAGGAGAGGCAGAGAAGCTCACGTATCTCCATCTCCGGAAATCCTCCCATCTCTTGGCCGACGGACTGATTTGCAATTCAATAAGTCACAATGTCATCTCTTTAGCTTTTACACATTTAGCTGACAAAGGGAGGGACGCACGCGGCCTCGTGAAATATCGTCTCGGACTCAAAGAAGACCTTAATGTTCTCTCTCATCTGCCTTGTTCAGCCCCTTTTTCCCTTCACTCTCCCACCCCCCAAACACACACACACACACACACACACACACACACACACACACACACACACACACACACACACACACACACACACACCTCTCACTCACTCTCTGCCTCGTCCTTTTCAATGGAAAAGTGAATGAGTTTTATTACAAGGTGCCTACTGTATCACATTTTGCATTCGTACAAGCTGTCACGCGCCGCTGGAGGCGGATGTGATGTGTGTGAGGGCGCGCGTGCAACTCTCTCACATACACACGCATACTCATTCCAGCGCTCGTGCGAAGTTCACGTCTATCGATTACAGAGGGAACAGGTGTAGCGCGTGTCTCTATCTGAATAATGCAGAGAGGGACTTTGAAGGGGTAAACAGCATTCATAAGGAAATATACATGAGTGAAATGAACGGCACAAGAGGAAAAAAAACTTTTTATAGGATTATTCATTATTTATAGAACATAAAATCTGTAATTAACTTTAAGTCTTTTAATAATTACGAAAACCTTTAATAAACCGAAAGTCTCTTAAAAAAGCTCAACTTGTGAGTATTGATGACTTGTTTGCATTAAGATACTGACTTTTAACATCCATGTCCTGCTTACTTTTTGCATGTTAATAATTACTAAGTCCATTTATTAAGCGAAAATGCGCGTGGTTGTCGTAAGGATATTCACATTCCTTCTAAATCAGTAGAAAATGATATTATATCAGTAAATAAGCAATAAAAATGAAGTTAAGATTAAGTAAAAGGTCAAAAAGGCCCGAATATATTTCTCCACCTTCCATTGGTTGCTGACCTGTCACTCAAACTCTCTTAATCCCGCCCTCGCCCCCACCCTCCTCAGTCCCACAGCCTTCGCCGGCCCTCTTCCTCCTCCTCCTCTTCCTCCCTCTCCTCTGCCGGCTGGTGGAAGCGTCAGACCTCCTCCTCCTCCTCTTCGGTCCTCTCCTCTACTCTCCTCTCCTCCCTCCATCCCGCGGACGAGTGTATAGAGCCTCTCAAGTTGAGCCCAGACGCGCACACACGCGACACACGCGCAGCAAGGAGAGGACAGCCGGAGGAGACACAGAGGGAGGAAGGAGAAGCTGCTGCTGCTGGCGGGCGAGCGGAATTTTGGATTTTATTTAATACACATAACCTGAAGTGACAGAGTTTTCCCTGACTGTTTTTGTTCCTGTGACGCGCGTGGAGTGGACTTTTCATTCTGTGGGGGAGTTCTCCGTCCACTCTGCTGGTCTTTTTGAACTTTCAGAGGAAGGAAAAGTGAGGCGAGCGGACAGACCGTGAGCTTTTGCTGTCCCGTTTGGATAAATAACGCAGAGGAGCGCGCCGGTGGAACAAGCTCAGCACTGGGGGTAAACGGGTTTATCCCTCGGCTCTGGCTTGAAGAGGACACACCGCTGACTTTTTTAGGGTGGAGGATTAAAAGAAGAAGCTGCGCTGGAATTCCCATCGGGGCTTTCTTAATTTTATTACCACTGACTCCACAAGGATTTATAGTTCCCTTCAAACCTCATCTGCACGGTGTCTTAGGTCAAGCGCAGCGGGAGCGCAGTTTGGTCAATTTGAGATTATTGATGGCACCGATGCGGTAGTGATCTTTTTAGGGGGGAAAGGAACGAGATTAAAAAATAAAACTCCCCCTTTTTGTGCTTTTTTCGAACAGTCTCGGAGGTTTTTCTTTACCATCTACAAGGATGGAGACGGCGTGGAGACGGGGAGGCGCGACGGTGGGCTGTTGCCTCAGGAAGACGGTGCTGCTTCTGCTCCTGTGGCAAGGTAAGAGATGGAAATATGGGCAAACTTGTTGCCAGTCCCAGGCATGGTGGTTTAATTCAAAGTAAAACGAGATGGCTCTTTGTGCAAACAAACAAACAAACAATGCCTGTGGAGTTTTTCTTCCACGGGATTGAAATCTCTTAAGGGGGTTTTGACGCGTTTGTCAAGTCTGGAATCCGTCAAACTTACGCTGTACTTTCCCTTTCTTGTTTGGTTCTGCTTGAAACACTTTTTGCTCTCACCACATCACCCTGTGTTAGTGCATACATTTTGCATCATGCCCAAAGTTGTTTGTATGTTTGCTGTTTGTGCGTAATTGCGCACAAAGAGAGAAGTAATATCAGAACAAGGTCTGCAACAAGGATGTAGATGCAGGCAAACCCGAGTCTAAACAGACTTGAGCATCCTATCTTTTCTCGGCGTGACTGTCTACACCTCCAAAAAATGGAATACTGCATGAATTTGTGATAAGGATTTGTTTTTTGTTTGTTTGTTGTTTTTCCAATGTGTCAAATACAGATTAGAGGTTGTGTTGGAAACCTCACTTTGGAATTTCAAATTAAGCAAATTTAATTTTCTCAGCCAAATGACGATCGATTTCCCCGTATCAACCTTGACACCCCCCTGTAAGCGTGCATGTGCGGGGAATAAGTAATTGACTAACCCGGAGCGTCAAATGACAGATGCGTACTAACCGGTGCCATCCGAGACACCCGAACCCCGGAGAGACGGCGGCTGGCACGGCCGGCGTGCGTTTGAGGGGAGCGCTGTAAAACCTGAAGGGACCATTTGACTTGAAACAACAAATTTTAACCGTGTTGTTTTTAATGGGGGGAAATGTGAGGGACTTTGATGCGTAACACGATTCTAGGCTGTGAGATCCGATTTGGAGAGGTTGATATGAGGTCCTTTTAAAATCAAAGGGAGATCAGCTGCTCCTCCTTAAATTTGCCCACGTGCCTTAGTAAAAGTGTCTGTTTTATGTTCGTGGCTAAAATCATGATCAGTGTTTTTCTTCTGCCCTTAAATTTGCATGCACGATAAAAGAAAAATAAAGAGAGGAGAGGGGTCAAGATCTCCCCCACGTGTCCGCCTCTAAAAAAGCGCTGACTTCATTCCAGAAGTCTTTAAAGGGCTTTTATTTTGCGCCGACTTGTGGCGCGTGCCTTTTCAAAAACACAGTGTAACCAGTCTAAGAAGCTCAAGGAGAATCGTTAATGCAGAGCGAGCTTCCCTCTGCGCAGATGGCAATCCGCTGTCTCGCTTAAAAAACTAAATCAGGACCGAGAGATTATAAATTCAGCTCGGGTAGCATTGCCACCCACTTTGTTCCGAAGAAGCGTAAGATGAAGCAAGCTGACAGATATTTGGGGTTTGGAGCCCTTTGAGTGCGCGCTTGT